GAGGGTTTTTCTGTTAGATCATCTAACGCCTGCCGTTTCAAAGTATTGTCTTTCAAGAGTACTATCTTCCATGTGATTATGCTCTAGATGTGTTTCTATAATAGTTATTTCGTCTTCCTTGGTATACATTTCAGGAGAACACTTTCTGTTAACACCGCCAGCGAATTTTTCCGAATTTTGCTACATGAGCTTTAGAAAATTTAAAATTATTCAGTAATAATAATTATTTGTGTCCTTTTTCACTAATCATACAATTCAAATCCATTTTTGTTGCAGTTACACTTCTTTAACAAACTGAATTAACTAGATACGTGCGTCAGGTCCCGGACCGCCCACACACATACATACATAACTAGATACTTATGAAGGATAATAATTATGCTTACTAGAACGTTTGAACGTTACTGGAAGAATTTTATTAGGTAAATCGATTAGAAAATACAATTTTAACCTGGTCGAACTGCAGGGTAGGCTCAACTCGACCTTTTTCAAAAAAGGATTAATACAGGTACTCGTGGTCCAACTGACCGGTCCCCGTGCAATCAGCCCGTCCCTTTTAGAACCCTGTAATCTGTATGGATTAAACTGACCGCTGCGCGCTATCGGCATACACCCATATTATCAAGTAATAAAAATAAAACATTTGATTGATATTGATTATACATCGATTTTATATTGGCATCCGTTTTCCGATTAATATTGGTTGTTACTTGATTCACCACCTACCACCGGCAGGTGAATTCTACTCACTCGCAATCCAAGTTTTTTCATTAACTCTGTGGTTATGAAATTTGATTGCGACCCGTTATCTAGCAGTGATCGACATTGATACCAATTATTGCGGTAATCTTAAATAAGAACTATGGCCGTGGACAGAATAATAGGGATATTTCGATTTACTTGAGTTGCATGCATTGCAACTTCAGGCCTGGCTTCTGTAACTGATCTACTAATTGCATTACTACTCGACGCAACATTACTTGAGGAGGGTGTTGATCTTTTAAAAATGCAGCAAGGTGTTTTGTCTCTGACCACAAACCTTGCATCATTCCGAAATACAATCCCTCACCAAAATGATTCGATCTCAAACAGTTTGTGCATATTTTCAATCGCCGGGCTTCACTCGCTCTACACTGTAATGAAAAATACAGCAAATTTACAATATGTGACAGGGGATACGCGATGCAATAATTCATTTAGAAAATATACTTGTTGAAATGTAAAACGGGCGTATCTCTACTGAACAGCCTGTAATTTATTTGTATTGTTATTACTTCTCATTTCCAGTATTATCAATGGAAAGTTACTGAGAATCACACTTATATTTTCCACACTATGCTTAGTTAAAATACAAACATACATGTGATTTCCACTAGAATATCAGGGACTATTATGTAAATTCACTTTTTCATCATGTATATTCGACTTATATTACTCATATTCTTTTTGTGAACGTACAAGAAGAAATGTAAACTTGACGTGAATTCGAGTAATTGTTATGTATATTTACGTCTTGTATAAAGTACTCAACATTAATTTCATGTCTGCTGTTGATGATTGTAACAAATTATTCGATGAATTAAAAAAATGTTGTGAATTATACTATGAGGCAGCAAATGCAAAAGAACATCGAGTCAGGTCTAAGAGTTGTTTATTACATTATCGATATAGATAAAGATATTTTTTGATTTCCTTAAATATTAAAGAAAATTAAAATCAAATAAAACTAACATATTGACAATTATAATTTGCCCATCTGAAATAGAGGTTATGAATCTTTTTTTGATTGTAGAGATAGTATTAATGGTCTTCAAGAAAGAATAATTATATTATATTTACAAGATGTCAAATTAGAATAAAGTCAGTAGATGATACGAAGAACTATAAGATATTGAGTCTCTTATTTGGATCTGATTTTTTTCCATAATATTACAGGACACCTAGTAAATAATGATCACTTATCTGTACGAAAAATATATTTCATCACTATATCCAAAACAAAGTTCAGTTCAGCAGCAAAGAAAAATAATTCGAAATAAGAACAGAGCATTTTGTTTGAAAAACTGAAACAACATATCAAATGATGAAGAGATAAAAAAATTATACAAGTTATGAAATACATCAACATAAAATATCAGTTCAACATAAATAATAAAAATTCAGGTCATGAGGTACAGCGCTACATATATAATATGTATATTTTGTACGCCTACATTTTGGATAACTAGTTAATAAGCGCTATTACTCTTACTAGCTACTTTTTTTCTTTTAGTTCCACTATCTGGGTGTATCTTGAAGTGATGTCTCTGTATCATCTCCATAGTTGTTGATACGGCATTTGGATATTGAAGGTTGGGATTGTAATAAATACAAACGGTTGTTACTAAAGCATTGACGAATTGGTCAAATTCCAATTCTGATATGAACGAACGAAAGGTTCTCGACCAAAAACAACACTTGTACATTATTTCTACTCACCGTGAAATTTCCTAAGATCCTCCGAATCGCACAGATAACGGTGTATTAACCAAGACGGTGGACGCACACTTTCAACCCCTGAGCATACCAAGAACGACTGATGGATACGGCGACTGTCAACGAACTCTCGTATACGTTTAGGAGCAAGATGGCAGTCGGATATACATATTGTACAATGTAAACTTACATGTTTTCTGTGAAATGTATGTAAATTATGTAATTTTTATGGTAAAATTATGTATTCTTACTAAATTTTACGAGAAATTACTGTACATACATACTGTAATTTAATGTAAGAAGTATGTATATTTCCCAGAGAATCACATCAATGGCTCATAAATCAAGTAAGTTCACTTAAGTAATGTTGTATTGTGATAATACCAAGACGATATAGTAATAGTCACCTTAAGTAACTAGTATTTTTTCATGCAATTTTCCATCGGTTTTTCATTGTGTATCTCCTGGTGAGAAAGACTTGAATTTTTCACAAGTGTATATGAAAAGTAGCCACTTGCAGTAATAACATTTTACTCCACCACTCGTCGTTGCTACATGAGCAAATGCTTTTTCAAGATATCTATTTTTTTGGAAATATTTGTTCGTCGCCGTTCCACCTGATGTGGGTTCTAACACCTGACATCTATCCCATAAGAAACTAGTGAACTCATTGAAGGTTGGTAAACCCTTATGTTTCACTATGCTTGTTTCATCCCAGTCCTTGCTTGTATCGTCATCTAATTTCCTAGCCAATATGAATATTGGTAACCTATCCCAAGTTTTTACAGGTTCATTCAATGCCTCTAACGCTCTGAAATGCCCCTCTACATCATCGATAAATTTCCGTAATGCTGAATATGATTCCTTATTCATGACTGACATGTCTACTAAAGCTTTCAGGTGAGATTGAATAATTGCCAGTTTGTTTTCGGATATCTTCTCTAAAATTGACCACGCTCTTTCATAATTAGCACTAGATACCTCAAAAACTCGTAATACTCTTTCTGCCTCTCCTTTTATGCAATCAAGGAGATAGTAGAACTCTTGTATATCGTCCAAATCCTCGTTTTCATGTACCAACTTCATGAATGTATCCCTGAACTGTACCCAATGTTCATAATCCCCAAAAAATTTAGGCAATGTGATTTTTGAAAGACTAACCTTTAATTAAAATATTCCACCCGATGGTGATTGAATTACGTTCGGCAAGTTTGTGTCTTTCATATTATGTGCAAATATTAACTGTCTTGCCGAAGCCTCTGCAGAGAAAAATGAATCTTTAAACTGTCTCCTTTCCTCTGTATCAACCCAATATCTTTTAACCTTTCCGTCCTACTTAATATACTATTGAATTCCTGCTATGACTCATCCATTTTCTCTATCCTTACTTGAAGTTCAATTGTTTGTGATTCTGTATAATTATCTATAAATTCCTCAAATTCTGTCAAGTCCGCTAAAATACTATCCTTTTGTATCAACAAGTTTTCCAACTCTGTCTGAATCTTCACCTCAGTCATGTTTATTTCTAGTTATCAAAACCTCTTCTAACTATAACGTTCAATATCAAAAACTGATCTCTAGTCGACTTCAGTGGTCGAAGCGGTCAATAAGGTAGGGTATGGAAAGGTATTGAGAGGAAGGACTCGCCCCGTATTCTGTTGCTTTCTTTTATAGCTTCTCCGTGGGCGGTCTGGTATCCCGTAGTCGATGTGGTCTGATGTTTGATTTCTCCTGATGGCGTCGATATATTTGTTGATGGACGCCCCCGATCTGACACTCGCTGCTGATGCTGGTACGATTTTTCGCTTCTTCTATTCCCGATGCTGGAACTGCTACTGATGTAAATTTCGTTCTGGGTTGTTCTATTGTTTCTGTTTCCCACAATAGGAACTTTCTCGATTTGATGATATGCTGCTGATGATGATTCTGATCTCTTGATCATTCGACCGGTCTGTCGAATATGCCTTTGATTGGAGTATTCGATTCAACCTCAATTACTCGTATGATGATTAGTATAACGATCAATAATCATCAATACCTCGTTCTGTTCACGCTCAATAATCACTCACGCTCAAGATATAACAGCTAATTACTGATTTATAATCCGTTTTCGAAGGACCATGTGCGCTCTTGTCTGTCAAAGGCGGTATTTTTTCTACTCGATTTATACTGATCAATAAAACACTGGTTTACTAATACACCATATTTATCAATCAACTCCGACTGATGTGATATATACAGAGAACAACCCGAATTCGTGTATGCCTTTACGACAGCTCCTCAAAACAGTACTGACTGACTCGAATTGGTGCCAGAGCCAAAAAGATATATAAAATAGATGTAATTCATGCCCTCATTTGATTTTCTAGACATACTTGAAATATTTGGCGAGACACTTTTAGGCCAATCATATTCGACAATCAACAGCATACCCTTATATGGAAAATAGTCTAAGCGAGAAAGAACCCTAAGCTTACTAGCCTACATAAAAAAACCGTTAAGATTGAACAAATATCACTATTTCGTAAATAATCGTTTTTATTTCTGTGAACTGATGTGATTGAATCCAATATATAGATGCCATTATTTAGTTAAAATTATCGAGTTGATAAAAACAGGTCGACAGGAATCTGCAAATGAGATACATCTTGAAATTTTTTTCTTTAACATAAAAATACTTACCAAATACCAAAATCCCATAACTGATCCGTGACTGTATTTCACTAAAGTAAAGTGAACGAATGTGATTTATTTGGGAGTTTTGCTTATATTCCTAATTCGAAAATATTTGGAGTTTAATATCTTGTATAGATTTGAATGGATAAACAGTGTACTTTAAATGGCAAATCCGAATCAAATAATAAACCCACAAATTTCAAATTTTCTTTTCTTGTAATGTTTGAGTTGTTAAAAGGCAAATATATTAAAGTTAGGGATACAAGTTTTTTGGCGAGGATAGAATGATATAAAATTCGTTTTAGTTGTATTGAACAACAAGGATTGATCACTAGACCAGGCTGAAAATTTCAACAAAGCATTCATAATTTAGGCCATCAAAATGTTCGAGTCTTTTTCACTGAACAAAAATGTTGAATCATCTGTCAATGTCAATCAATGTCAAATATGATAAGACTAATAAGACATTGATAGAACCAAACTGTTGTTCTTCTCCCAATATCTTATTCCCATTGTTCTCCTAATCTCATTTTTTGTTAAATTCTTCAATAATATTCAAATTCAGGACTGATATTTTGAAATTCGACCTAGGCTTCTGATTCTTTTTCTCTCAATATGTTTTGCTGAGGTTAGTATATCGACTCTTTGACTCTTTATTATTCCTTAACAATGTCCATAATTATCGTTTAGGTACTTCCGAATACATCATTTTTGTGTCTGATGATGGCTCGTGACCGAAACTAGTTACACTACTTATATCAAACATATTTTAGTGGTCCGCAGACTTTGGGACTTTTATTGCTTTTTCTTTTAATGAACATTTTAGTACCATCAGTTTAATTTGATGAAATTTCAACTCATGATTTTTTATATATAAAGCACAGCAGAAACTTTTGAAAATTGTTATAATTGTTATTGCCTATGACATAGCGAAGCTATCAACATGATTGCACGAAAGTTTCTCAGGGGTAGTACCTTGAATAGTTTGCAGGGGGCGAGCGATACATTTTCAGGTAATTATCTCCTGAATGAGAACTGGAGTTCAAGTGGTTGTGAAACTCTAAGACTCTGTAACAACTTTCACAAAATAATGTCATTGTTGAATTTGTATAATGATCAATATATACCTGATTGTGTTAAAGAAGATCAGTCCGAAATTCTGTTGAATTCGAGTTTTAATGGTTGTTCAACAAATTGTAAATATCAGTATTCATCTTGTAACTGTACCAACCGAATAAGTATATTGCCATACGTAACTATGGAAAAATCGAATACGCGAATGTAATTCTGATTCATTCATTCATTTCACCGTACGAATTATGTTACAATTCTAGCTGAAGAGAAATGCTACATTATATATTGACCAATATTGAAGTAAAAACTCATGGATATTTACCTGTGATGTTCGTGTAATATTGCACATTCAATTGTGATATGACCTTGTAAAAATACTCATAATTTCAGTATGTTCATTCACATTGTAAATGTACATAGTAAAATCACAGAATGTCCCAAAAATTAAGAATAGGAAAGATTGAGTGATGCTTCGTTTGATAGGTCAATCAGTTACCTGATTTTTAAATTATATTTTTAGGTATATCTGAAATAATACTTTCATTTCCAACGAAATACAGTTTTCATATACATTTTCTATGATTGCTGGTACTGATGCTGTCTTGTTTAGAACATGCGCTAAAATATATAATAT